AAAGCAGAGACATCACTTTGCCGACAAAGGTTCATATAGTCAAAGCTACGGTTTTTCCAGTAGTCATGTCTTGATGTGAGAGTTGGACCATAAAGAAGGCTGTGTGCCAAAGAATTGATGCTTTTGAATTGTGGTCCTGGAGAAGGCTCTTGAGAGTCCCTTGGACAGCAAGGAGATCCAACCAGTCCATCCTAAAGGAAATCAACCCTGAACATTCATTGAAAGGATTGATGTTGAAGCTGATGCTCCTAAACTTTGGCCACCTGTTGGGAAGAGCTGACTCACTGGAAAAGACCCTGATGCTGGGAAAGAGTAAAGGCAAAGGAAAAGGGTTGTGGCAGAGGATGAGGTGGTTAGATAGCATCACCAACTTGATGGACATGAGTTTGAGCAAACTCTGGGAGACAGTGGACAGAGAAACCTAGTGTGCTACAGTCTGTGGGGTTGCAAAGAGTCAGACATGACTTAGTAACTGAGTAACAGCAACAGCATAACTGAAATGCAGAACTGTTATCCCATATCTAAGCACACACATATCTGGAGGAAGAATTTATTCTTCCTAGAAAAAGCCTGTGGATGTGTCCGTGAAAGGTTGTTGCTGAGCTGTGAAAGATGCTGGGATTCTTGGCCTCCGGAGGAAAGGGATTCAATCCGGGACCAGTGATGAGGCTTGATCACTCAGAGCTTGTAATAAAGTTTTAGTAAAGTATAAAGGAGATAGAGAAAGCTTCTGACATAGACATCAGAAGGGGGCAGAAAGAGTGCTCCCTTGCTAGCCTTTAGCAGGAAGTTACATAAGCTACTGCTGCTAAGTCACTTCAGTCGTGTCCGACTCTGTGCAACCCCATAGATGGCAGCCCACCAGGCTCCCCCGTCCCTGGGATTCTCCAGGCAAGAACACTGGAGTGGGTTGCCATTTCCTTCTCCAATGCATGAAAGTGAAAAGTGAAAGTGAAGTCACTTAGTCCTGTCTGGCTCTCTGAGACCCCATGGACTGCAGCCTACCAGGCTCCTCCGTCCATGGGATTTTCCAGGCAAGAGTACTGGAGTGGGCTGCCATTGCCTTCTCCGATAGCAGGCTGCTAAAAAGAGAAAGGAAATGTAGCTTAAGAGAATATTTGCATGAGTGAAACATAGGTTCTGAGTCTTTGGCGAAGGACTTGAAGAAAGAGTCCAGGGTAAATACATAGTTCATTAACATAGGTTAAGAAAAACTTTTCCTTAAGAAAAACATTTCCATAAGAAAAACGTGTTGGTTAGTTCAAAATTTGAGAAAAGTTAAGTTCAGGTGGAACCAGATGTCGTCATGGCAACACAGAATTTTAAGAGAAACCTCCTTTTAAATTTGTATAGAGAAGGGGAAGAAATCTGACACTTGTAGTTTGTTTCCTCCTGCTGCTTATGAGAGAGATTAAAAAATGTCTGACACTTGCAGCCTATTTCTTCCATTTGAAGACCTCTAGCCTTCCTGACAGTTATCCTCTCATCAGGACCTTTAATAAGGAAGGAACCATCTAGGATCCCTTTTGTTTTATTACCCTTCTTCCAGTACCATATATACATCCTTTAAATTTCAGGGATTAATAAATTAAACTCCATCTTATCTGATTTTTTCCAATGAAAAAACATATAGTAAACATATAGATGGAGAAAAAAAAAAAAACCTCCTGTGTATGAACGAGAACTGGTGTCCTCTTGCTGAACATTTGCAATCTGAATTCTATGCACAATATATAACCTTTTAAAAAACAGAATTGTGTCACCTCTTCAGTTCAGTTCAGTTCAGTCACTCAGTTGTGTCCGGCTCTATGAGAGCCTGGGGCCTTGTGGTCAAGGTCGTTTTTGGTTTTCTTTTGGGAAAGAAAGAAAACCAAAAACGAAGTGTCCAAACTGGCTGAAATACAGGGGAAGTACATGAAGCCCAACAATTCCAAGATGAACTGATATCTCCAGATTCAAGTGCTAATGCCTTTTCAGCTTCTGTAGATGGAATAGTTTCAAGAAACCATAGTTTCCTTAGAACTCCAATTCAAAGAACACCTCATGAAATAAAGAGAAAGCAACAGATTATCTGCAGTTTCTTACCTTGCCAGGAGGCTAGCAGATGTCCCTAGGGAATATGGCTCTTCTCAATCATTTTTAACAGAAGTTAACTTTATTTCAAAAAATGGAGACTCTGGTTCCAAATGTTATTACTCAGATAATTATTTTGATGGTCAGAGGAGGCGCCCACTTGGAGATCGTACACAAAAAGACCATAGGTATTATGAATACTACCATGGTACCTTCTAAAGAATGCCACTGACTCAGGGGAGGCATGCTTCAGCCCAGGTCTCAGGTCAAACAACAGGGAGGGAACACAGTCCCACCCATCAACAGAAAATTGGATTAAAGATTTACTGAGCATGGCCCCGCCCATCAGAACAAGACCCAGTTTCCCCCACAGTCAGTCTCTCCCATCAGGAAGCTTCCATAAGCTCTTATCCTTCTCCATCAGAGGGCAGGCAGAATGAAAACCACAGTCACAGAAAACCAATTAAACCAATCACATGGACCACAGCCTTGTACCACCTCTATTCAGCTCTAATTCCTCTTGATATTCCAGCACTGGATGATGTGGCTTCTAGAATGTTCAACTATTCTTTCTCACTTTCCATTGTACTTACCATTTAAAAAAATCTCTTTAGCAGATTGCTGTCTTTTTCTCATCATTATAGCTCTTAAAAAACTGGTTGTTCTCCTAAATAGTAGCATGTGATCTTGCTCCATAATGGTTAATGTATTGATTTGGCCAGAATAGTTAAAGAGTCAAAGATGATTATTTTTAGCCAGTTATTTTTCAAGCTCTTTATAAAATCTATAACATCGTCAACAGTGTTTGAAAAAGTTTAGGGAGGCAAACATGGCAACTTCCAGAATGAAAATGCTATAATTGAAGGGCCATCCTGGACAGGGAGAGGGAAAGGAAGGAAAATTAGCTGAGGAAAGAAGGGACTTTTATCTGAAGAAGGTAGGATCATTCTCATTTGTTGCTGAAACTTCAATTCAGTGTAGTTAATGGAACAAACCTATTGTAAGACAGGATGGGGGCCCACTCCCCCATTCCCTCAATCAGCGATAGGTGGAAATTATAATTTCATTGAGTATCTCCTCATAAGGAAGTGGATATTCAATGACTATGTAAAGCTTAACCATGTTCTCTGCCATCTCCTAACTGTGAGGTTTTCATATAACTCAAGTTTCAGGTTGAGCTGTATCTGAATACAAATTGCAACTCATCTTTTTAGCCTGAAAGTCTTATCAACAGAATTATAGTAAGAGGCATGAATGTAATTTTTCTGAAACAGTTAAATCAAACAAGTAAAATCAACTTTAATAAGAGATTTTATTAAATCTAATATATCCAAAATATTATATTTCAACATTAACTGAATTGGAAAAATATTCAGATATTTTGCATTCTAATGTCTATACTAAGTCTTTGAAATCTGGACTTAGCCAAATGAAGTCTTGCCAAATAGTGTCACATGATAGTGACTATGGTATTAGCACAGATCTGAATGTCCTTAGAGCTTCTTCAAATATCTTGTAATGTGCATGTGTGTTAGGAAAGTAAACTGTTACATAATTTGACTACCATATTTAGGATTTCAGGAAGAACTTATTTCTTAACTGCTAGATAGTTTCAAGTAAAAAATGATTTGCAGTAGTTCTTTGCTAATCATGGCCACTCAACTCACCAAGAACTTATTTCAATAAGAGGTTGCCATTTTCAAAATTAAGTCATACCCCTAAGCTGGGAAGTAATTTTTTTTCCTCAATTATGTGTCAACATCTGAAATTAAGAAGTCTAGTATTTTCAACTGAAGAAAATTCAGTAGATAATAGAATACCTACTTGGATTATATTTGATAAACTTTATCTTCCTGCAAAGAAATTTTGAATTCAATTAAATGATTAGTCCCCCTGTTTCTTCCTTAGTACTATGATTATTATCAAATGTTGATTCATGAGTGAGAGGTAATGAAAATTGATCCAAGTTATGGGGACAATACCAGCCTAGCCAATAGCAGATTCAAGAACTTTGCATGGTTGCAAGTTATTTTCCTGATCATGTACCTTGTGCCTAAACTTCTGTCCCTCTGTGCTTATTTTTATCAATGCACACTATCTGAATGTTTTGTATCTCCCCTAAGTAGAAAAGGAAATGGCACCCCACTCCAGTACTATTGCCTGGAAAATCCCAAGGACGGAGGAGCCTGGTAGACTACAGTCCACGGGGTCACCAAGAGTCGGACATGACTGAGCGACTTCACTTCAAGTAGAAAAAGGTTTGGAAGAGACTGTTGGGCAGTTCATTAGGTAGCGCTTAGTTCTTATCCTTGTGCTCTGGATACACATATATTAATAAAACTATTCTGGTAGTCACATATATTTATACCAAAGATGTGTTAGACACATCTATCTCTATCTAACTCTGTCTCCCTCTGAGGCAATTGCACTTAGCCATCTTACTTAATGCGGTCTCCAAAAGGGGAGTTCTACTAAGGAAAGAGTACTAAGATGCGCAGATGTTTTACCTGCAAGCTTGCAGAACAGTTTCCTAAAAACTGTTATATGCAAAACTGAAATGTGTCAAGGATTTTAAAATAAGAGCTTATTTAATCCACCCTACAAACTTAAGAAATGAAGAGTAGCATTATACCAAATTTTTCAAATTAGGAAACTGAGGCACAGAAATATGAAGCAACCTGCTGATCAACTAAAGCTCTTTAGTGGTTGTGGCACCAGGCATTCTGTCCTGAACCTGTCCTCTTTACTGCTACTCCACATCACCTTTCCCGCTGATACCTGTAAGAAAATCCACATTATTCCCAGCTTTATTTTTGTTGCACCCTTTCAAGGAACTTGAAAGGAAGAGAGAAACACATTATTGCATCAAGCACACAGGAAATATTTTATTAACTTTCATGTGGGGAAAAGGGTAGAGTAAAAATATTTCAATAGAAATCCACGGCCCTCCTCAAGGAGCCCACTCTGGCATTTGTAGCCCCCCAGTCGTGGTAGCGCCTGTAATCCCCCGGCCGCAGCAGGTACTGCCGCCCCCGGTAGTTGGTCATCTCATAGAGGACCCACCAGCCCTCCAGCACATTGAAGGAGTGGATCTCACTGAAGTGGAAGCGGTCGTGGAGTGAGGAGCAGTCCTCTGTGATCTCCACCATCTGGCCTCGGTAGTCCTCTCGCTCATAGATCCTCAGCCGGTGGGAACCAGTCTGTAGGTTCAGCAATCGGCACATGGGAGAAGTCAGAGAAGCTAGTTCTTAGCCACTAATCACTCACACCCCTGGGAGAATGGGCATTTACAAAATCTTTTTTACATCAGAGATGACAAGTTTAAAAGACAGGCAACACCAGGGCCACTGTGTGCAACTGGGTAGACAGCACACTGCAGAACTGAAGGGGGTGCTATTCACATAGATCAAGATAGCATGGTTCTCCCTGGAGTTTTCCAGGGCCACAACCTACATGAACTATATTTAGTACCTACTTAGTACCACTCTTAAGTAACAATTTTTATATATAATTTTTTGTTCTTTCCTTGATAGATTTCTGGTGGTCTGGAGTCCCCTTGGAGGATATAAAATAATTAGATGTTAAAATAAAAAGCAAATATATCCCTCGCAAAAGACATTATTTTGGATCTCAGTAGCATTAGAAGAGGTTGGGGAGAGAGGAAGCAGGATTGCTTTTCCCAGAGTAAATAAGGCACAGAATGGTGATCATTCAGCCCAGACATCTAATTCCTTCCTTTCTGCTATGAGTCTTGCTATTCTGAAGTCCTGAAAAGCAAGAGCCATTGTTAATGGTTAAGTTTCATTTCTCAGTTCTAACATGTGATCTGTCAAAATAATTTTAGGTTATTAATAAAAATAGAAGCTCAAAATCATGAGAGGCCTGCCTAGATGGATAGATTATAGACCTTTAGGAAAATGGAAGGGAGGCTGTTAGTCCTGGGTGAATCCTGTCTGTCTCTTCTAAGCACTTGTGCCTTTATCTGCTTGTTTCTTCCTGGCAGGTACATATTCAGTTTTCCTTCTTCCACCATCAAACCCTCCTTAGCAAAGTTTCTCATAAGCAATTCATTCTGAGGCATAAAAACTGCTAATAAGGCATCTTCCATGGTTTGCAAAGGGTTCACATGTCCGTTACCTAATTTTGATCTTCACAACCGCCTGACACATGTGGGGCAACCATTCTGCCTTCTTTTATGAGAAACTAATGACTAGAACTTTCAGGCTGTAATCAGAAGAGTCAGGCCTGGAAGGTGGAAGCGGAGATTTCCAGGCTTCTAATGCCAGTCTGGGTCCTATCAAGGCATTAAACCCTCTGAGGGTCTTTCAAACTTACCCAAAGTGGTACATTTTCCACAGGACTCGGTCACAGTCAAATTACAGCATCCCTAACTGGAATTCCAGGCTGCTCGGGCTTTATTTGGATAGCAGTGACTTTGCAGGGGCTACTGGAGTCACAGTGCTGGTTAGTTGTTTTGCCAAATCAAAAAGCAGGACTTGAGGGACCCTGGATGTTCAAAGTAGTCAATACTTGGAGGGGGAAGGGTGGCTTGCCAGGTGACAGGCAATCTCCCTCCCACCTCATCACAGCTCTACGAATTAGCTGCCCTAGTAGCCCCATTTTACAGGTGAGGAAAGAGACAAATAGCCCAGGGACTAGCCTAAGACCACCGGAGTGTGAGGAGTTCATCGCCTGTGCCATAGGCACTCTGAACAAATACCATGCCACTTTTCCCCAGTAGAGGTGACTTTAATTTTAGCAAAGGAAAATAAAATCTCAATTAAGAGCACTGTATTCTCAATTAAGAGATATTATAAAGGAAAAGAGAACCCGGTTAGAACCAGCAAAGGAAGGCCACCGTCCTACAGTCTGGCCACGGCGCTGGGGCATCGGTGTGACCCGAGGCCACGGCAGGCCCAGGGGGACCGGACTCACGTGGGGGATGAGGCGGCAGGAGCGGACCGAGTCGCTGAGGCCCATCCACTGCTGGGAGTCGGCGTAGTCGCCGCGCCGCAGGAAGTACTGCGGGCCCTGGAAGTCGGGCTGCTCGTAGATCATCCAGCAGCCGCTGTCCACGCGGATGGAGTTGCAGCGGCCCAGGTAGGGCTGCAGGTTGGGGTGGTCGCTGCTGCACTCGTAGTGGCGGCCCTGGAAGCCCCGGTCCTCGTAGAAGGTGATCTGCAAGGAAGGGAAGGAGAGGCTCAGAGGCCGGGCCTCCAGCCGGGCTGCGGGCCCCTCCCGCCGGCGCGGGGCTCACCTTCCCCATGGCTGCTGGGCGCGGGGATGGGGCTCAGGGCGGTGGGGCCGGCGCGCGCTCTATATAGCGGGAGGGCTGCTGCGTTGGCAGGAACAACACAAAAGGGGCCCCCGGGTGAGGAGGATTTCCTTTCTGTCTCTTTTCTATATAATGACGGCGGGGGTGGGGTGGGGGACTTGCTGTATGTTTTCTCTTAGACTCTCCAGAGCTTTCGAACTGATGACCCGCGTAAAACTGTCATTGGAGCCTCTGGGGCCTTTAAATGAAGCCTATTCAGGAGATGGGGAGCGAGCAAAAGCGCTTAACCGGGTTAACACTTGTACTGAAATATTTTATTTATCTTTTAAATATTCTAAGTGATCTCTTTTTGAGGAACAACACGGGGTAGTGAGCGGGTCAGAGGTCAGGATGGGCCCCAGCGGGAGGCGTCTAGATGAGAGAGCTTTTCCTTGGTGCGAGGATGTGGGACACAGAGGCCCCTGCCTTCTGCACAGACGGTTGAAGGAGGATGGGATTTCCCCGAGAGAACCTTCTTCCATCCTCCCGGCTCAGCAGCGGATGCAGCAGACATTACACCGGAGGAAGAAAGGTGGTGGGCGCTGGAGCCCAGGAAGCCCTGTTCATGCGGCCTGGCTCGGCTCTGCTCCCTGGAGACGGAGTGGACCAGGGTCACCTCCAGACGCAGCAGTGTCTCCCAGGAAGCTCCCAACTCTGGAGTTCATGAGGCAACTCATGGTGGTTATTAGTCACATAGTAAATTTCTATTTAATATTTTTGCCAGCTAAGTGCTAAGCTTATTTGTTTGGATCTAGCTGCTGTCAAATGTAAGTTAGCCTGAAAATATAACCAACTTTTAAATCCCACAATTTTGCACAGTTTCTGCCTTCTCTACCTTCCCCAACCCTGAGCAAGCCTGAGTGGCTCTCTAGTTAAGTCTGATTCCATGGACTGGAGTCTTCCCTCCTCCCCCAACTCCCAGCAGCTTCTGGCGCCCTTCTCTCTGTGAGCAGGCGTTCTCAATCTCAGCACTATTGTGACATTTTAGGCTGGAACATTGTAGGATGCTTAACAACATCCTCTCCGCTGCCCACTAGATCCCAGTAGCACCTGCTTCCTTCCTCTCCCAGTTATGACAACTGTGTTCAGATGTTTCCCAAAGTCCCCATGGAGGGCAGAATCAGCCCCGTTAAAAACCACTGATTTCAAAGCGCTAGCCATGTGCCTGACATTCTTACAAGCAGTTATCCCCCTGCATTAATGGGATCATTTGCAGGCTGTGTTTGTGGAACCACAGAAATTCCTCAGAGACGCTCTGAGGCTACTCAGAGAGCAGGGAGGAGGGGAAAATGGAGTGTGCCTGTCCTATCCCCTACTTTAATGGGAGTGTTTTCACTTGTACCTATTTTATAGAAAACTTTATATGAAAACATGCTTTGATCACTAGATGATGATAATTTTAAAAAGATATTTGAAGACTACTGGTTTAAGCTATTGTGAATCTCATAATACCCTTTAAAACTACAAATATTTGACTTACTAGCCACAGGACGTAATGAAATTGCTTTCCCCTTACAGCTCAGTGTAGATGAATTTCCCAGTACGACTTGCTAATTTCTCATGAAAAGATCCTGAGAGAACAAAACATGGGCCCGATAAATCCTGATGTGATAAATTCTGGAAACATTAGCTCATGGCACTGGACCAAAAAGAAAAAGAATGAGGTGGATATCACATGGAAAGTTCTGGACAACTGGGGATTAGTCTGTGAACAGTGGGCTGGGGAAAGGGGGCTGTGAAGCCCTGGCAAGGAGAATGCCCTAAAACTGGGCTTTGACAAATTCACAACCTGGTCTAGAAGTTGATTGCAGTTTGGGGCTCTGTTTTGAAGGTTTCTAAATGGTTGTCAGAAAATGAAAATTGTTTCATTTGAATCTTAATTTAGCGATGTATTGGTTTGCTTTTTAGATTGTGGGGGATTAGTTGGTTATTCATGTTTCTTTTTATTTATTTATTATTTTTTTTTCTTTTTGAAGCAGTGATTTTATTTCTTTTGTACATATGCCCAAAAGTGAAATTGCTGCATCATATGATAGACAATCATAGTTAATATTTAGATTATATTTTTGAGGGTCCCCATGATTTCCTAACTAGTATAAGTTGATGCCCTCTAGTTTCAGTCTCCTGAAAAGTTATACTTACGAGGAAATCGACTCGGCTTTAAAGTTTGCAGGTTAGAAGGTTGAGGGTAATGGCAAAATTTGCCTTCTAACCTGCAAACTTTAAAGCCGAGTCGATTTCCTCGTAAGTATAACTTTTCAGGAGACTGAAACTAGAGGGCATCAACTTATACTAGTTAGGAAATCATGGGGAAAGATTTTCTTACTGTGTGAACAGAAAAAAACAAGTAGTATAGAGACATTGGGCATGGAGGTTAGCAATGATATAATCTGTTCTTATCCTGCATATTCCAAATGTGCTACTAGGGCATTTAAGCTTTTCCTCTAAGCTCTTGGGCAAAAGCAACAACAGCAACAACAGTCTTTCAGGAAACAATTCAGGATATAAAATGGGAAATTGAAGCACTGTCAAATAAAGCATTTAATACTAAGTATGTTGGCAAGAAAATGTGAAAAACTTGAATCACGAAGGTCTATCCTCTAACGGCTTATAGCAGGTTTTCCCAAAAGGATGTGGCAAACTTTCTCCCAACTGATTGTTTTATTATTTGAAACTTTGGATCAATGTTTATTTTCCCAAGGATGTGTATCAAATAATGAATTTCCTGGTAATTGTACTCTTTCCTGAAGTATTTTTAAGGCCTCTTGAGAATAAAATATGTAAAGCTAACAAATTATATTTTTACTCTAAAAAATCATAGGCTGTATACCTTGAAACTTTGTAATTGAGTTTGTTTCAATAAGAAGCAGCTGCAGTTCCCTAACACTGATCACAGAAAGGCACCAAGATTCTCAAGGGAGCTTGGTATATAATACAAAGCAGTATTAGTCTGAATATTAGTCAGTTGAGGCAGAGGCAACTCTTTCCATCATTAGTCTAGTGAAGTTGCTCAGTCATGTCTGACTCTTCACAACCTCATGGCCTATACAGTCCATGGAATCCTTGAGGCCAGAATACTGGAGTGGGTAGCCTTTCTCTTCTCCATGGAATCTTTCCAACCCGGAGATCAAACCAGGGTCTCCTGCACTGCAGGTGGATTCTTTACCAACTGAGCTATCAGGGAACCCCAAATTTTCTTCTATCAAGGTCTTGCAAGCTGTCTGCATATTTAATATGAGAGTTCATTATTGTAATGTATTGATAGTATCCATGCTAAGAACAGGAGATAACTTAAAGACAATTCATGTTTGATCAATTTATGAGAGCAGTTGTGAAATGCAGACTGTACAAAATGTATGAAGTATCTCTCCTTTTATGTCAGCATGCTAAGGTAGACACTAAAAATGAAGTAAAATTTTCAATTTCATGGTAGTAAGAAAAAGAGGAAGAAGTTCGCATCATATGCATCGTATGCATTTTAAGTTATTCAAATTCTAAATACATTCTGTGGTAAAATATGTATTTACTGGAAAAGAATTCTACCTCAGAATAGCAGAGGAGAAAATAAACTTACATTTAAAGTATAAGATTATTCTTTCTGTTTTAAAATTGCTAAACTTTTCTCTGTGCTGTGCTTAGTTACTCAGTTGTGTCTGACTTTTTGAGACCCCATGAAATGTAGCCTGCCAGGTTGCTCTGTCCATGGGGATTCTCCAGGAAAAAACACTGGAGTGGGTTGCCATGTTCTCCTCCAGGGGATCTTCCCAACCCAGGAATCAAACCCAGGTCTCCCATATTACAGGTAGATTCTTTACCATCTGAGCCACCAGGAAAGCCCTTCTTAAAGAACAATATATTTTAAATGTCTGATGTCAGATAATTTAATTAAACCAAGAAAAAGATATTAAAAATTACTCAGGAAGCAAGACTGGTGAATTTTTTTACCAGAAAAATTTTAGTCATTGTCTTTATTTACTAAACAATCATCAATGGTAAAACTGGGAATTATAGCAGACTTCTTTTTATGCAATTAAACTTTTTATATAAATTAAATACTTGCATGTTATTTCAGTTCAGTTCAGTTGCTCAGTCGTGTCCAACTCTTTGCGACCCCAGACTTTTTTTTAAAAAAGAAAAGTCTTCTTAAAATATTGTCCTAAACAAAAAAAAAAAAACATAAGCCAGTAAACATTGAAAAGAGATCTTGATTCATATTTCACTCATTTCTTTGTGCTGTTGTCATACATATCCTATATATAAAATATGAATAAGAAAAATCTAATCATAGCCTAAAGAAAATTTTTCTCAATTGTTTATTCCTTTTTGCTCTAAGAGCTTCTTGTATGTCATTATTAAATAGTTATGTAATTCAACCTCAACAAAAGGAAGTCTACATTTTGTTCTAAGGAAAATGGAAAAATATAATTGGCCTCATTCTCAAAAAGTAGCAGAGATCTTTTTAATTTTTAAGAAAAAAAATTTTTTTAATTGCCAGCTACAACAGAAAAGAATGATACTGAATTCTAAAATTAAACAAAGCTGCATACTAAAACACTACAATAGAATATATGATAATATATTTTTAAACATTTGAGTTATATATAATGATATAATGTATGATTAAAAGAAATTTAGTATTTTAATTAGCTCTATGACAGTAAATAACTCAAGAAACCTCTCTGGTTTACTTTTTCTACAAAATGAAGGTGTTCAGTTTGGAGATACAAGAGGCTTTAGGAGATACCAAAGGCTTTATCTTTATCACATAAAATTCTATTCATCACTAAAAAAAGAGAAACAAGTGTCAACAAATACAAAAATAGCCACTAAAAAAAGAGAAACAAGTGTCAACAAATACAAAAAT